GTGACCATCCACGTAGGCACATACTGTTTTCTGCACATGCATTTATGATATATGCGTTGCATATGCTGTTTGATTAATAAATTACGTATAACTTGAAATGCAAACATAAGGTTTCTTAATCTAGACACTCGTCCATATAGAAATTATTATCCTTCTTTTTTTCCTTGTCAACTGCAAATAGATACGATCTTATAAGTCCTAGCTAGAATATATTTCTTTCTTGAAAATGGATATGTTTTGCAGAAATATCTCCACATCAAGAATATGAACATGTCTGGAGAAACCATACCATACGTCGTGTATTTCTTGATTTGGTGGAAATTAAAACTAACTCCTCCAGTCCTATTGTATTTTTATGTCAATGGGTATTTTTCGTATTTCGATTGGAATAAGTACATTCTGTTGAATTATACTAACAAAAATAGGAGATCAACCATTATGAAAAAAACAGTTTAAGAATAAAACATTCGACAATCTCGAGAGTAGTAAGTTAATCTCATTCTAGAGAATGAAATTAGTCATAATACGATAAAAGAAAATTACTCTAAATGTATCAAAATTTTTAATGTTTTAGGGAAAGTTTTTGTATCAAATATTCAAATTAGTTGATGCTTTCTTTTTCTAGGTGATAATTTTTTACTGTTTATTTGTTTGTGACCATTTGAATTCTACATATATATTTTTGTATGATTGGTTAAATAATTTTTTTGTTGAAATAATGAATGATTATTTAATATAAAAAAATATATACAAAAATTACATTATTCATGTGGTTTATTAATTTGTGTACAGCATCTTTAAACATCATCTAAAGTGAGATGATATAAATAGAGTTCATCTTCAGCGAAAGAGAAGTTGTACATTATTAAATTCATTTCTTTTTTGTACCCATTTTGTAAATCTATATCTACTTTTCCACTTCCAACAAATGGGAAATTAAATGTGTTTCTCTTCTTCACGTTCTTTCTATTTTCAATTTTTTCATTATCCAACACTAACCACACCATGAACCCTAATAATCACATACCAATCTTACTTACATTCTTCTTTACTCTTCTTCTTCAACTTCAAAACCCTAGCAATGCATCACCATCTCCACCAATAACAGCTCTTTACGCCTTCGGCGACTCCACGGTGGATTCCGGCAACAACAACTACATCCCAACTCTTTTCCAGAGCAACCATCCTCCTTACGGCAAATCTTTTCCGGCCAAACTTTCCACCGGAAGATTCTCCGACGGAAAACTCGCCACCGACTTCTTATCCTCCTCTTTAGGACTCAAACCTACTTTACCAGCTTACCTAAACCCTTCGGTCAAACCCGTTGATCTTTTGACCGGCGTTAGTTTTGCCTCGGCCGGAGGTGGTTTAGATGATCGGACCGCGATGTTATCGTTGGCTTTGTCCATGGACAAGCAATGGAGTTACTTTGAAGAGTCGGTGCGTAAGATGAAGAGTTTGGTCGGAGATTTGGAGACTAGTCGAGTGATTAAGAATGCTGTGTTTGTGATTAGTGCAGGGACTAATGATATGATCTTTAATGTTTATGATCGTGTTCTTGGGAATTTGGTCTCTGTTTCTGATTATCAAGACTATCTACTTAGCAAAGTCGAAGCTTTTGTTCAGGTTAGCTATGTTTAACTTTTAATTTCATAGTTT